ATTAGAGACGATTCAGAATACTGTGCTACAGAGAAGAACAATGGAACAGTTGCAGCAATTAAACAACAAGAAAGATGAAAAGAAGTAATTAAGGAGGGAGGGAGAGAGAGAGTGGTAACTGAGATTGCGAACAGTGGCTTTGACGGTGTAGCCACGATCAAGCAACATCTTCACCAGCCATGATGCTATGTAGCCGGAAGCCCCTGTCACGCACACCACCTTCCCTCTTCCGCTCATCTTCTCTCTCTCTCTCTCTCTCTCTCTCTCTTGTGCGTGTGGTGTTTGCTGTGACGAATGGAGTGAGCATTTGCAAGATGGGTGATGGTGTGTATATATAGATGATGATGACGTGTTATGGGCTTCATGGTCGCACGGTTTTTTTAAGCGCCTACGTCAGCATGCTCGACTTCTTTGAGATAAGCTTTTGAGGCTTGAAAAGTAAGGTTGAAGAGTATCCGAGACTTGAAAGAAAGCGAGAGAGATTGAATTGTCGTCAATGAAATAAATACTTAATTATGGAGAAAATTCAAGGATTGAAATGAAATTAAAAAAAAAAGGAATTGTAGGGGGTTTAAATTGCAACAGTGACTTTGACGGTGTAGCCACGATCAAGCAACATCTTCACCAGCCATGATGCTACGTAGCCGGAAGCCCCTGTCACGCACACCACCTTCCCTCTTCCGCTCATCTTCTCTCTCTCTCTCTCTCTCTCGTGCGTGTGTGGTGTTTGCTTTGACGCGTGGAGTGAGCATTTGAAAGAGGGGTGATGGTATATATCTAGATAATGATGACGTGTTAAGTGGAGGTGCAAGGACAACCTGATTTTAATCGAGTCTATCTTGAAAAATTAGGATTTGGCTAGAATTTTTAATATTTAGGGCCAAAAAACTCTAATTCGAATTTAATTTGGGCCGAGTCGAGTTGAGGCATCCCGAATCCGATAAATAAAAAAAAATAAATAAATATATATATATATATATATATATAACATTAGCACTTTTTTTTGTGTACTTGTTTACAATTAACTTTAATTTGGTGTACACCCTTCCAATTTTCTTTGTTGTTAAAAAAAATTTATGATTATAATTATTTAAATTTGTATGTTGATAAAATAATTAGATGTAACATATTTACTAGTATTAATAATGAGAAAATAATAAAAAGATGAGTATTTTTTTTTATTGATTTCAGAGGGATCTTGGAGGCATCAGTAAGTAATTTCTACAAGTTTTTATTTTTGCTTCGACAATTTTGTTATCTCCATCGCCCGTCATTTCTAACTTTTCCAAATTATTTCATATTAATTGCTTTTTCACCAATTCTCAATTGGTTAGAACCCATTGGATTCATGTGGAGTTTACTTTTGTCTTATGTGATTAAAGTCATCTAATTTAATAAGATAATTATAATGTTTATGATTCCTTTTATCGTTTACGGTTAATAAATTTAAACTAGAAAGTTTATTATTACTACAATTACAATTGATATTAATGCCTTAATTTAAATCAAATATTTTATAATAGGTGGGAATCTCAAAATAACATCCTGAAAATTGTTACGTCATGTCGCCCTTGATCACTCTTTTATTCAACCGAAAAAAAAAGAAAAAAAGATAGATTGAATTGTTGTTCCATAAAGGAAATGAATGAATACTTAATTGTTGACAAAGTTCAAGGATTGAATTGAAACATAAAAATATAACTATTCAGTATCAAAACAAAAAAAATAAAATAATTTTTCGTTAAATTTATAACCAATGTTAATAATTGGGATAATATAAAACTAATTAAATAGTGAAAGGTGCAATATTAAAAATATAAGAATTGAGGGGGTAATATAAAAAAAGTCATGATTGATGGGATTAAAGTATAATTTGTCTGAAAAGATATTTTTTTTTTTTTGAGACAAAAAACCACATTGAAACTTCTACTTAAAAGTGGAAGCGCCAGAAGATCTTATACACTAACACAACCTTAGACTATCCAAAAAGATTTGAATATCACAAAAATGTGTATCTCACTCCTCGTAAAAGAATACAGGATTTCAAAATGTAATGGTAATATATAATATAGTATTTGGTATCGTCGTAATCTATTAAGTATTAATTCTCAATATCTATTTCATTATTATTTTAGTAATGAATTTTAATTTAGAAAGCATTCTGAATTTAGGAATGAAGTTTGATTTTGAAGTATTTAGTTGGACAAAATATAGTTTTAGCTCCCAAACTATGAGTTTTATATAAGTTTGGTCTCTAATTTTTCAATAATATCAATTTGACCTCTTAATTTTTTAATTTGCGTCATTTTGGTTTAATCAAAATGGCCGTTAGAATTTTCTACCAGAAATCGTCACCTGTATCTCACGCGATCACACTAGAGGCACATTTTTAAAAATTTTAAAGACTAAAGTGATAAATTATAAACTTAAAAGATTAAAATGATACGAGTTGTAAATTTTAGAACCAAAATGACCCTCAACCCAAACCCAATTGGAAGGGGTTTAATATTCCCACTGTCACATCCTTTAACACAAAACTCAACCCAGCATAATACATCTTCCCCAATCATCTCTCTCTCTCTCTCTCTCTCTCTCTCTCTATCGTTTGTTTCTCCATTGTCAAAATAAAATTGGTACTTTAAAATGTAAAAAATTTTGTAGTTAAGAGTACAAAATAAAATAAATGTAATAGTTTAAGGGGATAAAGTGTAATTTACTCTAACACAAAACTCAACCCAGCATACATCTTCCAAGCCAATCATCTCTCTCTCGTTCGTTTGATTCTCCATCGTCAACACCATGAAGCTCTCCTTTTCTCTGTCCTCAGACCCATCTTCAAAGCCTCTACCCCTCAAACGTTCGCAAACTGACGCCAAAGACCAAGAGGATCTCTCATCCATCACGAAACAATACATAACAGAATTCGATTCCTTAGAAACCCTAAAAATTTCAGAATCCAAAAAGCTGATTATCCCCCCAATAGCCAACGAATGGAGGCCTCACAAGAAGATGACAGACCTAGATCTTCCGTCCCAATCCGCCCGTCCAGATAATCTCGATTTTGAACAGGACCCTATTATCTCCTCTGGCGAGACCGATTCCTCCATATCCTACGGCCTGAATCTACGGTGGTCCATAAACAATGGTGCGATTGTCGAGCCGAGGTCGCCTCCGCGGCCAGAGTCGAGACAGAAGCTGATGTTACAGAAATTGAAAGATGATTTGCAGAGGCTACCGGAGGATAATGGGTTCAATGAATTTACCGATATACCCGTGAAAGAGTTTGGGAAAGCGCTTCTCAGTGGGTATGGTTGGTACGAGGGTAGAGGTATTGGGAGGAATGCACAAGAAGATGTAAAAGTGGTTGAATATACAGGGAGAACTGGCAGACAAGGCCTAGGTTTTGTTGGTGAAATACCCAAAGAGAAAGTAAAGACATAAAACGAGGTAGAGAGCAAAGGGGCACTACTGATAAAGTAAGGGGAAAAAGGGTGCGTTTTAATGTGGGTAGGGAAGTTTGCGCCTTGAACAAATTGCTGAGTACATTGGAGATCCGATGTTTTTTGATTTCAAGGTATTTTGAGTTATATGTTAGATCAACCTATGTTAACTTATTGGAATCTCTTTGTGCTGTTATGTTTTGTTATATTTTAAATTGTGCTTGGTGCTTCATTGATTTTGATGTCCTCTTTTCTTTCAATCAATAACAGGGAAGTGTATCAATGAAATAAAATACACGCGGGGTAAGAACTGGCCCGAGAAAGAAAGAGTATATAAGACATGAGAATTCAAATTACACATCACATATAGATTTCTAATATAGCCTTATTAAGAATAATAGGATACCCAAAAACTCGAGAGACTCCGAAACCCATCGAGCACCAGTACTCCATAACTACCACGAAAACTATATTACGACTGTTGCAAAGATGTAACCATCATTCAGTNATACCCAAAAACTCGAGAGACTCCGAAACCCATCGAGCACCAGTACTGCATAACTACCACGAAAACTATATTACGACTGTTGCAAAGATGTAACCATCATTCAGTCATATCCAACTCTTATCCATTTGTGGCCTCATTTTTCATAACTCTATTTATATTAATTCTGGAGTCGCAAATACAACTAAATACCAACTTTGTAATTGTTCGAAAAACCACATAAAGTGATTAAGTTTTAGAACAATATCTCATTAAGTGAAATCAGCTGTTCAAAAAGAAATCCCTAAACCACCCGCTGCTAAAGTGAGAGACCATGAACTGCATTGATAATATACAGTTAGTTTTCATTCCATGTCCTAATCCGCTCTCATCATGACATTCATTGTGACTACGCTAAGAATTGTATCACAATTGGTCATAACACAACCATTTTGCACTTGGATCAACTTTTAGGTGGAATGGTGTCAAGTAGAGATGACAATGCTTGCACTAAAGATTAGAACCCAAGATGTCTCAGAAGGATAAATGTCATCATTTTGTCAATTCTGGCTTCATGCCATGATTTTCTTTCTCTTGTTCGGCTTGTTGATGGGACCCAATCTTTATCAGAATAGAAAATAGTTTGAACTTTTTCAGCTTATTATGAAATTTTTTTTGTAGGTTTTTATGGTATGTTCTCTGAAAACACGGAGATCAACTACATTGAGAAATTTATGTTGGCTTGCAAAGATCTTTTCTAACAAAATCTCGCATCCAGATGCATTGAATGATGTTTGGACTACGCTTAGACCTTCCCATCCTTAAATGCAACTTTACACTTGCGGGTTTGGACGGTTGTGGTTTGATCATCATTTATTTCAGAGTAGTTTTAAAAATTACTGGCAAGAAAGTTGTGTTTAAGGATGGGAAGGTCACAGGTTTATGGAGAATAGGAGTATTTAAACCAAATTTGAAAGTTAATTCTACTAAGTTGCTACTTTTAAGCAAACTTGCAGGTGGGAATGTTTTGTTTCATTTTCTGTTACTTATCAGTTTNTTTAAACCAAATTTGAAAGTTGATTCTACTAAGTTGCTACTTTTAAGCAAACTTGCAGGTGGGAATGTTTTGTTTCATTNTAGGAGTATTTAAACCAAATTTGAAAGTTAATTCTACTAAGTTGCTACTTTTAAGCAAACTTGCAGGTGGGAATGTTTTGTTTCATTTTCTGTTACTTATCAGTTTGATTAATTTTCAAAGTTTTTGTTAGGAATAAATAGTTGTTTAATATTGGTTGTGGAAGGAACATATCTGTTTGTAAAGAGGATTCAGTGCACATAGTGTTGGTTTCTGTTTTCTGTAGTGGCNCTTGTTTAATATTGGTTGTGTAAGGAACATATCTGTTTGTAAAGAGGATTCAGTGCACATAGTGTTGGTTTCTGTTTTCTGTAGTGGCTATGTTTGTGTTTATGTTGTATTTTTTATTTGGCATTTGATTGGCAAAGCATGTATCTGCATGGAGGGAAGAAAGAGGAGCTACCATTGGAACTGGAGGTATCCAAGCAGGGCATGTTGCAGCAGACTGGATTGTGCCCATGTGCAGCTTATCTGATTGGGGATTGGGTTTGGTTGGTCACAACCCTCTGGTAGTTGGTATATGCAAGAAATTTCTCTGATATGCTTGTATGTTCCTATAATGAAGAAAATGCATAGGTAATTGTTTTTTTGTTGCAGATGATGCTTAATTTTTCGTTTCAATGTATGAATTTTCAAGCTAAAGATATAGAAAGATTGGTTAAGCCTGGAAGAGGGTTGAGAAAGAAGATTCAGAAACTTCTCCTACTTGGTATACATAACTCAGGCCATGGTTCTTTTTTGTAAATTTTTTTTTTGTTTTTAGTTACATTTTATTCTTGATGTTCATAGAGTTCAATAGAGCAACTAAAAATAAAGCTTAGGCATCTCTTAATTTTGCTGCTTGTGCTATGTTAAAACTAAGGTTACAACCTATTGTTTTGCTAAAATTGTACCTGCCATGGAGATTTACATTTATGAAAGCTATAAAGATGATAAAGATTTGATTCCTGATGAGAGTTGTGTGGGTAAGAGTGATGTGAGTGGTTGTATTTATCTGAAGCACCAATTTCATTGGCAAGGCCTTCTGCAGGATATGTGCTCCTATAAACATCCCTTTGGCTTAGTGGGCAGAATAGCGTTCTTAATTTAGTTGTAATTCTTGCTAATTTTGCAATGTATGTTTCATCATGGCTCTTTTATTCTGCTCTTGTTCGTACTACATGTACTTTACTTGAAGAATTCGGTTTGGCAAAATAGGCTGCCTATGCTAGATCCAAAAGTGCTAGTATTCAAAATGTGTTTCAGGTGAGCTATGAGAAAAAAATTACCCTTATTTCACAGTTTATAAATACAAGCTTTCCTATTTATTGGCACTTCTTGATGTTTAATTTCCACACTGTAGTTGTGTCATAGAACCGTGGTATCATTTCAGTATGAACTTGACCAATGAAAAATCATAGTCCCTAGAGTTTTGATGCAAAGGCAAGTCGCAAAAGTTTATACACGTTTGTCTATATAAACTTTTTAGTTTGTGTATCGTTGTTTTATGTGTCACAGGTTTGACAATGGTTTGCGTCACAGGTTTGACAATAGTTTGCGAAATTGGTATCAAGGTTTTAATGAGGCTCGTGTTTATCAAGGATGCAAATCAGGGATGAGGGATTTCAAAATTGTTTAGAGGATAAAGTGTCATCGGTCTTTTTCTGTTCCATAGTAAAGTATTTTGCACAGCTACAAGCGATACATATTCCAACTTGTAGCATATTATTGCAATGATTCTAATCAAGTTTACAAGATAAAAACATGAAAATACTACCCTCATATGTATTTCCATTGCTTGTGAATATTACAATTCAAAAACTCAGAAATTTCTTCTCTTTCAAGCTTTCCACAGTGTCCTTAAGGCTCACCTCAAGAGGAAGGAAATCAATGCCCAAACTTTTTGCCCTTTCCTTAGATACTTGGTATGGTGGGACAACAGGCTTTTCATCAGTATATCTGTCATGAATAAAACACAAAGTTCTATTCAGATTCCTTTGGTTTTGAGAACTTTTATACCTCAAATGATCTCGGGATGATAGATCAGTCAATTACTACAAGAAACTTTGAAGCTTAAACTGTAACTAAAAAAATGAAATAGTTCAAAAAATTCCATTTCTAGTAGCTCTAGAAGTAAATGGATCTTTGGATTCTAAGCATGAAATTACTCTCTACATCCTCTTCTTTAATATATTATATAGAATCGAAAAGGAAAACAAATTTGAAGGTGTTTGGATTCTAATTCTAACTTGGCCTAATACTCTATGTCCTTGAGTAAAATATGAAGGTGTTTCTAAGTAGCCAACCTTTCCATTGATTTCCTTCACGAGAAAATAGCTTGAAAAGACGGCATTTTGACTTGATTCTAACCTAGACACCAAATTTAAGGAAATTCTTGAATAGAATCATTCTATATTAAACTTAATTTTCTTGAACAAATTTCATTCTATAGATCATCAAGCTACTTCTATCCATTGTGGAACTCTTTGATCCACCTCACATTTTGTACAGTGTTAACACAATCCAATCTTGTCTTTCCATTTCCTGATAGAGCAGTTTTCGTGACAGTGATGGACAACATGCATCAGCTTACACCAGTGACTGACTATTAGTATGATATTTTTAGAGCTAAATTTTAATAGGAGAAAGAAAGAGATGAGAACCCAATTAAACATGGGAAATTTAACATGATGCACATTTTGTTGAATGTGTAGTCAAATTCAATTATTTAAATTAGTNATCCATTTCTAGTAGCTCTTGAAGTAAATGGATCTTTGGATTCTGAGCATGAAATTACTCTCTACATCCTCTTCTTCAATATATTATATAGAATCGAAAAAGAAAACAAACTTGAAGGTGTTTGGATTCTAATTCTAACTTGGCCTAATACTCTATGTCCTTAAAGTAAAATATGAAGGTGTTTCTAAGTAGCCAACCTTTCCATTGATTTCCTTCACGAGAAAATAGCTTGAAAAGACGGCATTTTGACTTGATTCTAACCTAGACACCAAATTTAAGGAAATTCTTGAATAGAATCATTCTATATTAAACTNTTGGAAATTCTTGAATAGAATCATTATATATTAAACTTAATTCTCTTGAACAAATTTCATTCTATAGATCATCAAACTAATTCCATCCATTGTGGAACTCTTTGATCCACCTCACATTTTGTACAAGGTTAACACAATCCAATCTTGTCTTTTCATTCCCTAATAGAGCAGTTTTCNGCTACTTCTATCCATTGTGGAACTCTTTGATCCACCTCACATTTTGTACAATGTTAACACAATCCAATCTTGTCTTTCCATTCCCAGATAGAGCAGTTTTCGTGACAGTGATGGACAACATGCATCAGCTTACACCAGTGACTGACTATTAGTATGATATTTTTAGAGCTAAATTTTAATAGGAGAAAGAAAGAGATGAGAACCCAATTAAACATGGGAAATTTAACATGATGCACATTTTGTTGAATGTGTAGTCAAATTCAATTATTTAAATTAGTAGCTTAGTCATCTAGCATTAAGGACGTCTCAAATACTAAATACTTACTTTTCAGGAAGGTTGAGAGTAGGGTAAAGTTTGCATAATATCTTTTGAA